GGTCAGCTGACCCGTAGTGAACTGTGAAAGTTTTCACAGATCAGAATAGTGATGTTAGTGACTCAGGGAAGGGTCAGCTGACCCATAGTGAATTGTGATGTTACTGACTCAGGGAAAGGTCAGCTGACCCGTAGTGAATTGTGACATTTTTCGCAGATCAGAATAGTGATGTTAGTGACTCAGGGAAGGGTCAGCTGACACAAACTGAACTGTGAAAGTTTTCACAGATCAGAATAGTGATGTTAGTGACTCAGGGAAGGGTCAGCTGACCCATAGTGAATTGTGACATTTTTCACAGATCAGAATAGTGATGTACATGACTCAGGGAAGGGTCAGCTGACACAAACTGAACTGTGAAAGTTTTCACAGATCAGAATAGTGATGTTAGTGACTCAGGGAAGGGTCAGCTGACCCATAGTGAATTGTGACATTTTTCACAGATCAGAATAGTGATGTACATGACTCAGGGAAGGGTCAGCCAATGAAACGAAAAGTCGCTACGAAAAAAAACCCCTGATTTCGGCCCGAAGGACAGCGTCACCTGAATTCACAAATCATGGAGAATGATATTCGGTATTATTTGCATGTCTATGACAGCACGCTGCGTATTTATAGCCAAAAGAAATCTGAATATCAAACCGCAAACTATCTTTACTGCGGTGAAGTACCATCCCTGCCTCCACCCAAGCAGTCTCTCTCTACAGTGCAAATGGTCTTTTGACAGCCTTACCAGACTTGAATAGAACCCTTCATCATTCACAAATGTTAAAAATGTTTTTATCTCAAATCTACGGTGGCCGAGAGAGCTCAACTTGCTGCAAATGAAAAAAAAAACACCAGTAAATTAAGAAAACATCTTCATCAGTTTGACAACACGTGCTGCAAATACTCACAACGCAATCAAATACAGAAACGGGCTGCAAAAACTCGCAACAATCAAATACAGAAACGCGCTGCAAATACTCAACACAATGGTTTTACAAACCTTTTAAATATTTGTACTTTAACTTATATAGAGTATTTGAAGATAGATTATTTATACTGCTAGAAAACCTAATTGTAATCAATAAATTAACTTTTATTTTTATAACAAAATCTGCCTCCTGGGGCACTGATTTATGACTGAGCCAACAGACCACGGAGTCTCTTCTGTCCAATTGTAAGTATTTTAATATGCTCATAATTTAGGTCAGATTCGACTTATTTGTAATGATTAATAATAGGTCTGCATGGAGTTAATAATTCAATAATGCATTTATTATGCTAAAAATTTACGTTTAGTGTAGGGTAGAGTGGGGACGGTTGCAACATGGCTGATTTCTTCAATCAGGAATGTGCTACAGTGATGATATTCATACTACACATACTCAATCAGCCCCTCGTCCTTCCTGGATGAAGTCAGGCACATGTGACCATTCCTTCTACAAATAATAATTTTCATGGTAAAAAAGTATTTTTTTTTAATCATCAGATTTTTTGTCATACTGTCTAAGTTGTTTGCGTGAAGCATTGTAAAAACACATGATTTATATCTGTGTTTTCTTAGCTTCTAATAGGCATAGTTAGCATGTTTGAGCCAACAGACCACGGAGTCTCTTCTGTCCAATTGTAAGTATTTTAATATGCTCATAATTTAGGTCAGATTCGACTTATTTGTAATGATTAATAGGTCTGCATGGAGTTAATAATTCAATAATGCATTTATTATGCTAAAAATTTACGTTTAGTGTAGGGTAGAGTGGGGACGGTTGCAACATGGCTGATTTCTTCAATCAGGAATGTGCTACAGTGATGATATTCATACTACACATACTCAATCAGCCCCTCGTCCTTCCTGGATGAAGTCAGGCACATGTGACCATTCCTTCTACAAATAATAATTTTCATGGTAAAAAAGTATTTTTTTTTAATCATCAGATTTTTTGTCATACTGTCTAAGTTGTTTGCGTGAAGCATTGTAAAAACACATGATTTATATCTGTGTTTTCTTAGCTTCTAATAGGCATAGTTAGCATGTGTCAAAGATATTGTGTCAAGCTAATATACCAAGTTTAGTCACGGCTGTCAGTGTAGGGACAATTGCAACACGTTGTTGCAACCATCCCAACATGATGTCCCTTACCACAACATTGATGTAAAAGCTTGCCATAACATTACATAATTGTAATTTTATGGATTAATAAAGAACCCCTTTCAATAGTTAGGTATTTCTCCTTTTTTATTTAAGTAAAAGTGGACTCATTTCAAAAGTGATCTCAAGTCAGTTCCATAAAATGGTAGATTTGTCTAATTTAACCTTTCACATAAGCCTATGTTAACAGAAGTAGGCTATTATAAAATTTCAGTGTCTTGACTCTGATTAAATTAATATTTTGTAGTTCAAATGTATTGTACTTGTATTGTAGTTCAAATGTACAATATTTGTGCATTTGAACTACAATTCCCCATTTACTATTCTTTGGTTTTTATACAGCCAATTTAACTTATTAAAGATCATGTCTATGCACAAATAAAATAAAGAAATTGCAAAATGATATTTAAGAATTGTTTTATTTACATTTTAATGAATGTTGCAACCATCCCCTGTTGTGGGGTCAGTTGCAACATTTGACTTTGTCTATTCAAGAATAAATTATATAATCATATGTGCACGTGTTACAGCAATGTGGTTGAGTAGCTGACTGATGTGACTTTATTGTATTATAATTCTGGCTTTCTAATGCAAACAGTCTCTGAGAAACTAAAGCAAATGCAAAAAGTGTTGCAACCGTCTGCACTCTCCCCTACTCAAGTCTACATCTGACTTGTCCTAATGGATTACTAAAATAAACAAAACCCTCACAACATCAGTCTAAAGTACAAATGTTTTTGAACTTATGCAACTTTTAATACAAAGTTTCAAAGCTTTTGTAACAGCGTTTGCAAATCAAAGCTGAATCGTGGAATAATTACAGGGAGTACCTGAAAAATAACTGACGATGGTGGTGTTACAAATGGTACTGCTGCTCTGTGCTGGGAGCTCACTTGCAGATGATTTATTTTCACCAAATGTAAATATTATTGCAGAGCTCGAGAAACTGAAAAACATGGAAGAAAGGATACAAAAATTAGAAGAAACACTGACCAAAGTATTGAGTGAGAATGAAGGTAAGGTGGAAAAGTGGTTGCATTTCTTTCTTTTTTTTTAATGTCATTATGGAAAAAACATTACAATTTATGAACTATTTTAAAGAATTTACAACTTAAATCTCTTTAAATTCTTTGTTTAGTAACATTATCACATCAATGTATATTCCTAACAGCTTTGAAAACCCTAGAAAAAGATTCACAAAATAAGATGGAATTTTTCCAAAAAGAGAATGAAGGCAAGTAAAATTCACACTTTGTTCCCATATACATTTTAATGTTTTAAATTACATTTTATTTTATTATATATTTCAAACCAATCCATTCGTTTATTCATAGCCAAAAAAGTTGCCTTTTCTGCTGGACTTCTGGAATCTGGAACAGGATACACTGGGCCCATTAATACTCCGAAAACTCTGGTCTACAAAAAAGTCTTCAGTAATATTGGAGGTGCCTATGACCCAAATACTGGTAAGTCCTGTAAAGAGAATATCATGACAAATGCAGAATCCTCTTCGTATATGATATTTTCTGTGGCTACGTTGTACATGTGCATTGCAGGTGTTTTCACAGCACCAGTGAAAGGAGCCTATTACTTAAGATTTTACGGTCATAGTCATGGTGGAACAACAATGGCAGTCAGTCTCTTGAAGAATGGTGAAACCCAGTGCTCTCTGTATTCTTGGAAGCCTACCTCCAATGGTAATGCCAGCAATGGTGTTGTTCTCACACTGGAGACCGGTGATCAAATTTCTACACGACTTTGGCAGAACACCTGGGTTTATGATGATCCAGCAAGTTACACCAGTTTCGGTGGTTTTCTGATTTTCCCCCTGTGAATGTCTAAATCTTGTATGACCCATATCCAGTGCAGGATGCAATATAAAATAATTATTTTAATGGAACGTAATTGTTTCTGTGTAAGTAAACTAAATTTGAGTAAATAATAGGCATAGATAAAGGGAGATAATTGCTTTTTAGTTACAATGTTTAAGTCTAAACAAAACAAAAAACAACGGTGAAAAAGAGTAAAGGAGCTGCTAAGCTCAAATAATTTTTTATGAACGAGAGTAGTACTTTCCATATTTCTAGCATATCAAATGCTGAACATTTAATTAAATAAACCAAATATGACTGAATTATGTTTCACTTTCATTTTTACCCCCATGTGGTCAGACACCAGCAAAGAAGCAGAAAGTTAATAATTGAAAATCAGACATTTAAAGCTCATAGTGTGCAGTGACATGGTAAAATAGTAATCATACTTAACATCAAATTCATGTTATTGGCGATATGAAAAATAATTCAAAACTAAACTAAAAACAATCTGTCCTCGCTACCAATATTTAAAAAAAATAAATAAAATCACTGACATTCAAGATGTACCAGTGTTATCAAGCCTTCATGAGTGTTATGTTTGCAAAACTGAGTTTTTTTTTTTTTAATATATATTTTATTGAAATTTTCCTCTAGAAATATTCTGAAAACCGGGTCATATAAAAAATACAGGTAAATAAAAACAGATGTTTCCTGGAAGCTTTTCGGCTCTCTGTAATAAAGAAGCAACTCAAGTTTCCCCCTTCTAAAATACAAATTTTATCTTTGTTCACAGAAAAAAAAAATATCAGGGGATCAGGCCAGTTTCATTCTGAGAATACATAATGGACATATTCTGCTAGTGAAATATAAAACCCCCCCTCAGGTTCAAGTCAGAATGATTAAGAATAACTGGAGAATGTAATAATTTCTGTTGTTTGAAAACAGACCTTTTGTTTTCATCATGGTTGAGGGACATTTCAAAAGCCTGAACAGATGTCATGCTAACATTAAAAATAAACTGACATCAGTGAAACTGATGTAACTGTAGTGTCAGTTATTATAAGATTGCAGGCATCTACATCATAACAGACAAATCTTTAAAAGTCTGGCTTCAACCTTTCAAAATAACTGAAAGGGCTGAATTTTGAGTGTGTGTCTCGTATCTCTGGTGTTTAAAACAACCTATGAGCCGTTGCTGTCACCATCATCTTCCCCTTCTTCATGCTCACCCTCTTCCTCCTCTTTTTCATTCTCTCCTCCCTGGCTTTTAACCTGAGAAGAACAAATAAAAAGCTTGCTTATATATCTGTACAGTATCCAGCACCAATTACAACACAACCTCTATCATTTTGCACATGGATTTTTTACACATACCTCTTCCTCATCCTCCTCCTCTTCCAACAAATCTCTCTCCGCCTCAGAATCATTTATCTCTTGCTCTTCCCTCTCTCTGTCTTTCTTGCTGGAATGCTGAAGGGAGGAAGCCTCACCCACTTCTGCCTTCACACTCTTTCCCTCTGAGGTAAAAAAACAAACAAAAAAACATACATATACAATAATGGTCAAACCTATAGTAGACACTATAGTTCATTTATGTAAGTGAGGATAGCAAAATAAAGTAAACTGTGACATATTATACCCAAAAATTCTTCATACAGTGGACTACCAGTAAAATTTATAAAAAATTTGGGACCAAAAATTATTCAGACACTTTTACCTGACCATGTTTTGCTTAAGTGTTATCTGGCATTATCAAGATGAATTTGTTCTGACACAGTTTAACTGAGTTCTTGTCATATTTTATTATCATTTTCTAAACTATAGTGAATAAACTGTGATAATGTGTGAATGTTGGAGGTGTCTGAATACATTTTGGTTTGGCTATAACAATTGGTAACGAAAAACAATTTATACATACACACACACACATATACACATGTGTGTGTGTATGTATGTATGTATATATATATATATATATATATATATAGAACAACAATAGTATAATATAAATTAAAAAAACAAATAATATAAATTAAATTCATAAATCTGCTTGACTGATTTTTTTGACTTTATGACAACGAACGTAGTTAAAGACATATTAGGAATAAGTTTAGGCATAATGGTATTTTAAATAATTTATAAAATTCTTTGGATTACTGATTATTGTCTGGGCCCATTTTGACATTGACTGGTGACCCTGCTACAAAAACCCTGGGGGAATCCATGAAGAATATTACCAGATTTCCTGTTGTGGTCTTTCTCCATCCTGTCCAGACTCTCCAGAAGATAGTCAACTTTGTGTTTGATTTGAGCAAGCTCTCTCTTAATAGTTTGGAGGTCATCTGCTTTCACTGAAAGAAAAAAAACCCTGAACGCATGTACTGACAACTGCCAAGCCAACCAAGGTCAAAAATGTAAAATGAGAAAAGGAAGGCTAATAATGTCAATGCAGACAAAAAAAAATCAATCAATATTTTTTTAATGCATTTGTCACTGGCAGATTAAAATGAACCCCTCTAGAGAGTGATAATAATAAAAATTAAAAAAAAAGGCACTGACGGGTTTGAGAAGATGTCCGTTGGCTGCTCTTGGATGAAGTGGAAATGCTGGACTTGGTGCGGCGGCTGGTTCCCCCACTCACTCTGACCCGTGAATGTTTGGAAGGGATCACAGCCCGTGATAGAGGTGGTGGTGGTGGAGGGGGCACATGGGAAGGGTATGAATACATTCTGCACAAAACAAGCAGATTGAAAAGTCAGCACACATTTTTAAATCCACACTGGCACAGTTTGTGCAGATCTTACCTGTCATAATAATCTCTCTGGAAATCATAATCAAGTTCGAAAGTAGAACTACTGCTGGAGAGATTTTAGAAAATTATTAAAACTTTTGGCAGCAAAACAATTGGCAACTGAAATAAAACAATAAAATGGGTGAAAATACATAAGAAGAAATTTTTCCCTACCTGTACATATCTCCAGCTGATCGCTTTGTTGTTTTTGACCTGTGAGGTCTGGGCTCTCCTGCCAAATTAATATCTGATGGAAAGACAAGGTGATTGCTCAATTAGGAGGGAAAAATATTAGATAGTCTAAGATTTTTTTTTAATGTCCTCACCGAGCACCTGTCCAACAATCATTCGGCCGTCCTCTCCTCCTACAGCTGCCCGTGCGTTCCTCTCGTTGGCATACTGGACGAAGGCATAGCCCTTGTGCAAAGAGCAGCCAACAATCTTGCCGTATTTGCTAAAAATGGCTTCAACATCTGCCTTGGTAACCAGCACAGTGTTCAGGTTCCCGATGAAGACCCTTGAGTTCAGTGACCGTGGGTCGGTCTTATTTGTGACGTTGCTGGCCAACAGCTGACTAGTGCTGGGAGGATGACTAGGGCAGGAATAGGAAGGAAGAAGCATTAGTATATTTCCAAAGGGAAAGCTAGTAAAATTTAGCATATTCCACTTTATGATAACTAGTAGTGTTTTGCGCTGTTTTGCATTTGTGGATGGTCTAGTTAGATTATCAACCCAAAAAGGGCAATACTATTGCTAAATCATTTATTCACAGAAACCACACACAATATTTGACATGGAAATAAAGTGTTGATGACTGTGACTCACTCCATGGCGTCAGTGCAGGGCAGTTGTCTGTTTGTCAATGTGAGCGGGCCGAAGTGTAGATTGTTCTTAGGCAAAACGACAATTTCAGCACTCAACCAGTGAGCGGCACTTCCAGCAGCTTCCTGTGGTGGTAACGTGCAGCTGCACCAACTGACTTAAAATTGAGACCAAAAAACAACCAAAAAGAAAGAAAAAAGAAGAAAAAAAAAAGCCCTCCTTAAAATATAAAGGCACTAATATATATATATATATATATATATATATATATATATATATATATATATATATGTGTGTGTGTGTGTATGTATATGTCCGTTGGCTGCTCTTGGATGAAGTGGAAATGCTGGACTTGGTGCGGCGGCTGGTTCCCCCACTCACTCTGACCCGTGAATGTTTGGAAGGGATCACAGCCCGTGATAGAGGTGGTGGTGGTGGAGGGGGCACATGGGAAGGGTATGAATACATTCTGCACAAAACAAGCAGATTGAAAAGTCAGCACACATTTTTAAATCCACACTGGCACAGTTTGTGCAGATCTTACCTGTCATAATAATCTCTCTGGAAATCATAATCAAGTTCGAAAGTAGAACTACTGCTGGAGAGATTTTAGAAAATTATTAAAACTTTTGGCAGCAAAACAATTGGCAACTGAAATAAAACAATAAAATGGGTGAAAATACATAAGAAGAAATTTTTCCCTACCTGTACATATCTCCAGCTGATCGCTTTGTTGTTTTTGACCTGTGAGGTCTGGGCTCTCCTGCCAAATTAATATCTGATGGAAAGACAAGGTGATTGCTCAATTAGGAGGGAAAAATATTAGATAGTCTAAGATTTTTTTTTAATGTCCTCACCGAGCACCTGTCCAACAATCATTCGGCCGTCCTCTCCTCCTACAGCTGCCCGTGCGTTCCTCTCGTTGGCATACTGGACGAAGGCATAGCCCTTGTGCAAAGAGCAGCCAACAATCTTGCCGTATTTGCTAAAAATGGCTTCAACATCTGCCTTGGTAACCAGCACAGTGTTCAGGTTCCCGATGAAGACCCTTGAGTTCAGTGACCGTGGGTCGGTCTTATTTGTGACGTTGCTGGCCAACAGCTGACTAGTGCTGGGAGGATGACTAGGGCAGGAATAGGAAGGAAGAAGCATTAGTATATTTCCAAAGGGAAAGCTAGTAAAATTTAGCATATTCCACTTTATGATAACTAGTAGTGTTTTGCGCTGTTTTGCATTTGTGGATGGTCTAGTTAGATTATCAACCCAAAAAGGGCAATACTATTGCTAAATCATTTATTCACAGAAACCACACACAATATTTGACATGGAAATAAAGTGTTGATGACTGTGACTCACTCCATGGCGTCAGTGCAGGGCAGTTGTCTGTTTGTCAATGTGAGCGGGCCGAAGTGTAGATTGTTCTTAGGCAAAACGACAATTTCAGCACTCAACCAGTGAGCGGCACTTCCAGCAGCTTCCTGTGGTGGTAACGTGCAGCTGCACCAACTGACTTAAAATTGAGACCAAAAAACAACCAAAAAGAAAGAAAAAAGAAGAAAAAAAAAAGCCCTCCTTAAAATATAAAGGCACTAATATATATATATATATATATATATATATATATATATATATATATATATATATGTGTGTGTGTGTGTATGTATATCTATGTATATGTATATACACTGCCGTTCAAAATTTTGGGATCGGTAAGATTTTTTATGTTTTTTTTAAATATGTCTCTCCTGCTCAACATGGCTGCATTTATTTGATCAGAAATACAGAAAAAAAACTAACATTGTGAAATATTCTTGCAATTTAAAATAATGGTTTTCGATTTTAATATACTTGTAATATAATTTAAATATAATGTATTGCTGTGATCAAAATGGAATTTTCAGCATCATTACTCCAGTCTTCAGTGTCCCATGATCCTTCAGAAATCATCCTAATATGCTTTAATTTAATAAAGCATTTATTGATTTAATATCAATATTGGAAACAATTTTGCTGCTTCATATTTTTTTGGAAACTGTGATTTTTTTCAGCATTATTTGATGAATAAAACGTAAAAAAGAACAGCATTTATTCAAAATAGAATTTGTAACAATATACACTACAGTTCAAAAGTTTGGGGTCAGTACTTTGTTTTTCTTTTTTGCAAGAAATTAATGCTTTTATTCAGCAAGGGTGTGTTAAATTGTTAAAAAGCGATAATAAAGACTTATATTGTTAGAAAAGATTTCTATTTTAAATAAACGCTGTTCTTTTTAACTTTATTCATCAAATAATCCTGTATAAGTATCACAGGTTCCAATATGTGTATATATATATATATATATATATATTTGACTGTAGTAATGGCTGATGAAAATTCAGCTTTGCTATCACATAAATAAAATATATTTTAAACTATATTAAAATATAAATCGTAATAACATTTTACAATATTACAGTTCTTTCTGTATTTTTGGTCAAATAAATGCAGCCTTGATGAACGGAAGACTTCTTTAAAACACATTAAAAATCTTATTGATCTCAAAGCAGTATATATGTGTGTGTGTGTGTGTATATTTAAATATATATATATATTTTTTTAAACTACATGTAAACAACTAAATATTACAAATCATTCGTCTTCATTGTGTAAAAAAATTATGCAACACATTACAGCTATGATACAATATCATTAAATCTTTAACTTTTCCCTAAAAACACCCAGCGCGACCAGAGAGCTGCAGTGATGTTTAGGTTTGGGTTTATTATGTGCTTGTGGCCGCAATATCTCAACGAACAATACAATATCATTGAAATGTTCCCATTTAATCCGCAACAACGCGGTTTGGTTTCTTTTCATAGAAATAATTGATGCAAGGCACTGCGACTCAAGAAAGCCCAACACACGCGCAGAGATTTATGAAATGTGATGGAAAATCCTCGAAGTAGACAAAGAGGACAGACCGCATTGCAGTGAGCCTTGCTCGGCCTAAACACTCAGAGGGCAGAGGTAACGGGTCTTTGAGTAAATGCGCGAAAAATAAGCAAAGGTCATTTTTTAAGAAAAAAAAATACAAAAACTACTCACCGAATATTTAAAATGCGTTATTTAGGAAGGATCAATAATATTTCACTGGCTGCAAAAAAGGCAACAACTGTGAATTCGCAGTCGATCTGCTACGACATAAAAGCTGGCCACACATTTTTCAAGTTAAAAGTCATCGGTTTTATTTTTGTTATAAGCCCTTCTCATGTAAACCACGTAACGCTGACATGCCTACTGTTTTTGAAAAAAAACATCCAAACACTATATTAACGAGGGATTTTAAGTCGCCGCTGTGCCAACAGACAAATGTGTGAAGGCTTGTATTTTGAAAGAAGCATGACCTTTCGAGTTGAGTCGCGCGCCGTTCACACATGCAGACCTATTAGGGATATGTAAACCTACTGTTTCCATCCAAAGATGCGAATTTAACTTATGCGCTCAACTGGAATATCGCATAAAACATTTGCGAATAAAGCACCGTTTCCATCCAACGAGTCAAAAAGAACAAATGGTCACTTCCTGATAAACTGGCATTAAATATCTCTAAGAAAAATAGGAGAAGTCACTGAATATAATACTTTTCATGTGTAATAAATTACTTGCGCTTCAGAGAGAGCAGACGTAATACAATAAATGAGGACATTGCTTTTAGAGGTGGATGCCGGCTGTTTGGGAACGCAGTCATGTAAGACAGTAATTATACAGAAATACTTTGATGACAGACTTTCCTCAGGCATTTAAAAAGTGTATCCTACTCAATTGTGCGCATTTTTAGAATTGATGCGCATCTTGGGGTTTCCATCCAGTGTTTTTTTTATGCGACAATCCCAATTGCGCATAAAAATGACTGTCAATAGTATTATAACGCTGTTTATAACTATCATATGGACAATAATTTGTTGGGCTCCCCAGTTGACTTGTTTTTCTTCAGATTTTCCCTGTAATACCGAAACATCTTCTACAGGTTTTTCCTTTCAAGTTACCTTTGCTTGGCCACTGGGGTAGCCTATTAGAGATTAAAGTCTCTAAAAGTATTTTCTTGTAAAGTTGATCACTGTGGCCTAAAGACCTTGAACCACTGGGACATACCTTTCTGTGAAGCTGCTTCGAAACTATGTATTATGAAAAGCTTATGATTTAAACATATGACATAAACATGACCAGGGCCGCATTAAGACCTCACTGGGCCCCGGGACTATGACTTACTGCAGGGCCCCCATCACAATAATGATATAGCTTAAAATAGGATTTTTATCCAATCAAAGTTTCATAATTCTTGTTACCAATTCCAATATCTCAACAACAACAAAAATACTAGCCTATGTAAAAACAAACTTACTGAAGACAAGTAAACAGTCATTAATTACAATAGAACAAAGAAATTTACCTGCAAACACAAAGGGATAGTTCACCCAAAAATGAAAAATGGATGTTTATCTGCTTACCCCCAGCGCATCCAAGATGTAGGTGACTTTGTTTCTTCAGTAGAACACAAAGATTTTGAACTCCAGCCGTTGCAGTCTATCAGTCTTATAATGCATGGCAATGGTAACAAAATCTATGAGAGTAAAAAAACATGCACAGACAAATCCAAATTAAACCCTGCGGCTCGTGACGACACATTGATGTCCTAAGACACAAAACGATCGGTTTGTGCCAGAAACCGAACAGTATTTATATAATTTTTTACCTCTAATACACCACTATATCCAACTGCCTTGAGCGTGCGCACGGCATCCGGTGCGTGAGGTGTGTACGCGCTCTGGCGTAGTTTTTATATTATACTATACTAAGTGCATATTAAATGTATTATTTTGAAACAACTTTAAGAATATTAAGTGTATTTCAAGATATGTTTAAGTTTGATTTGAATCTATTTGTAATATATTTAAAATGTGTTAAATTGGAACCACTTTAAGTATATTTAGTGCAATTTAAGTGTATTTCTTAAAATACATTTAAAATGTCCTTTTAATACTTAATGAACTACAGTTAAGAGTATATTTGAAGCATCGTTTTAATGTACTTCAAGTACATTTCAATTGTATTTCAGCTCATTGGAAATGCATTAGCATTACACTACTAGTATATTATAAAGCTGCTTTTTTCAGTAT